TGCTTCAGTGTGCGAACACTGAAGGTGGCTAAATAGACAGGCTTTCGGGGTCTGAAAACAGACTTCGAAGTGTTTAGGGTTGTAACTGAACTCGGACGTGCAGGAGCTGCAGCTGAGTGTGATGCAGGGCGAGCAACACGGTCAATCCTAGAGCTGGGGCCTGCGGAGAAAGTATTCGAATTTGGGTGGGGGAGGGTGAAGGCAGGAGAACGTGAAAGTGTAAGAAGGGAGGCGTCAGCAGTAGCATGTTTTCGCTCACCCGCCCTGCTGTATGCAGCAAATAAGGCGACCCGGCTGATGTCACCACGCGACTGCCGATATGGCATGAATTTATTTGTGTATGTGCAGTTCATGGTTGTACGTGGGCTGGGATACTGCCAGGGCGCCCACACCTAGACAGGAGGACGATTAGGGTCCTCATCCAATGCCTTTGTCTCAAAAGCCTAACCGCAAGGCAGCGGTGTTCGGCTGGAAATGCAAGCATATTACCATTTTTACAGAGCACGTTGCCATACATGTTCCAATCCCCAACCTGGAGGGCTAGGAATAAGACTGCAGCAGGATGAAGCAAAGCAGTCGACCGTTGGGACGTCCGCTCAGAGATTCACTGGAAAAACAAAACGACACTTAGGCCCGAAAGATGGTTATGTACAAACGGAACGCCCGTGTTTCAGAGGGAGATATCTCTGTTCCCCTGTCTAGGTTTGGATATCTCAGCCTTCGTGCTTCCTTTGAGCAGCATGGCAGCTAGTCACTGAAAGAGTGCTACCTCTGTTCTTCATACCCAATGCCCAACACACTGCTTGTAGGACGGAGCGACTCAGAACCCGAATTATCCAAAGTTGGTCCCACAGTAAGCTCCCTTAACACAAGTCACGGTATACCATCTAACCACTGATGACACCAACCTCAGTGGTCATCAAAAGTAGGTTTCTGGTTAAAAGTGTAATAAAAGTGTGTGAAGATTAGGTCAACGCAACCCCTACCAGGCCGGAATACCGCTTGCTGCTCTCGAGCCACCATAAGGCAACGAAGTAAAAGTGATGCCAACAGTCTCGTTACGACCGGGGTCAAGCTGATCCTCCCGTGGTTGCCACATCCACTACGAGCCCCTTTTTTGAAAATGGGCACTATCACCGACTCTCTCCAATTGTCTGGGACAGACTCCCTTTCCCAATTGCAAGCGAACAGACCAGACAAACGCTGACTGAGGAATTCATCCCCATCTTCGAACAGTGCGGGTGGAAGGTCAATCGGACCGGGAATTCGGTGGCGCTTGAGAGAACATATGCAGTCGTAAACATCCGAGGCCTTAGGTGGTTCCACGTTCACCGTCCAGGGTTCTACTTCACCTGTGGACTCTAGGTGAGTGCCAGCTGGTGGCCACGACAGTTGTTCGAAGTATTCAGCCCACCTGTCAAGACGTTGTTTATTCGAGATGGTCGTTTCATTCTGATGCTTGGTCGTTTCACTCACAGGTGGTTTCCGGGGACCAGCCGCACAGATCAACTGAAATAATCTTCTGGTATTACCGGCTTTCGGGGCGTCTTCCATCATTTTGGCTTTCAGTGTCGACCATACTTCACGGTCGGCTCGCACGCTCACTTTCACTTGACGTCTGATAACTCGTCTGATATCTCTGGCCATCTCGGGGGCGAGATGAGATGCGAAAGAGAAAGAAGGGAGGCGTCAGCAGAAGCCTGTTTTTGCTTACCCGCCCCGCTGTATGCAGTAACTAAGACGACCCAGCTGATGGCACCACGCGGCGGCCGATGTGGCGTGCGAGTATTGTTAGTTGTGAATGTCATGGTTGTACGATGGCTGGAATACTGCCAGGGCGCCCACACCTAGACAGGAGGACGATTAGGGTCCTGAACCAAAGCCTTTGTCTCAAAAGCCTAACCGCAAGACAGCGGTGTTTGGCGGGAAATGCAAGTCGCCACATGTTCCAACTCCAAACCTTGAGGGTCGGAAGACTGTGTTCGTCAGCCCTCTAGCCATTGACCAACCTGGTATGAGAGACTCTGTGAGTGTTACGGGGACACTCCCCAGTATAGCTAAACGGATCTTTGAGGTGCGCAAACCGTCACACCACGGTAAGCTCCAGTTTTTGTGACAAACATTCATGGAAATTTGTGTACGGGGCCGTACCGTGCAACCTGGTGGTCACCAAGTGCAAACGGGGCGAGATGGCCGAAGTGGTTAGAGCGCGAATTTACTGACCGGAAGGTTCGTGGTTCGAATCCGACCTCCGCCACTCGACTTCCCCTGTCTAGGCTTGGGCAACCTGGCAGTATCCCAGCCCTCGTTCTTCCCTCGGGTGGCATGGCAGCTAGGCACCGGAAGGGTGCTACAGCTGAACGCTTTCTTTTTTCAAGTGCAAATCAAACGTGAACCCCGTTGGATCAAGTGGCCACCGTTGGGGATCCACATTTTAAGACTGCCGTTATTTCTGGGCTTTACAGCTTGATTCCCATCCAGAGTGCGAGTACTTTTGACAATTCGCTTTACTTCATGCCAGAGCAAATCGACAGGAAACATGCCAATCCACTGTCTTCGGAGGACTACCGGCCAGATAAACATCTCATTTCAATGAACCAACGTACTGGTAAGGGGTATGTGCATGAAGTATGGCAATGTGAAAAAGGAGGTATGCTAGCCTTGTTCAAGGACTTTCGTCCAACTTCTCTTATACAACCCGTTGACCACGACTTTCTTGATATCATTAGTCCTTACTGGCAGCCGGAAGTCGATACTGCCTAGCGTATACGTCACGTCAATCTTCCAACTAGCAAAGAATCCAAGGAAAGTTCGAAGGCTCCTGCGGACAGTAAAAGTTCAGGAGATGGGGAAGGCCTTTGTCACAGGAAATAGCCTTGTGTCACTTAGTGCGATAGAATCGTTCAGGTGTAACACCCTTTCGGTGCCTAGCTGCCATGCCACCCGAGGGAAGCACGAGGGCTGGGATACTGTCAGGTTGCTCAAGCGTAGACAAGGGATGTCGAGAGGCAGAGATCGGGTTCGAACCACGGACCTTCCTGTCAGTAAATTCACGTCCTAACCACTGAGCCATCTCGTCCTTTATTGCGATAAGCTGAACATAAGGCCACTTTCAACGAGACGATAAGTGAAAAGGACGGACCAGTACTTCAATTCTGTGAAACGCTGATTAGTAAGATAGGCCGGGCACTTCGAAGAACAATTTAGCTGGCCTCCTTTGACACAGCTCCTAGAGACGGTTCGTACGGGAAGAATGCAATGTAAACCGAATTGCCTGGCAGAAAAAAAACAAAGTACGAAATTTTCCTACTGCTTGCACCAGAACTGGACGGTTTTATCTAGCTCTCAAAGGTGAAGAAGTCATGGTCACCTACCCGAAAAAATTTAATGGTGCTATAGGAGAGAACTGTCTACAGGATGGGGCATATCGCTAGTCCTTGTTGTCTTCAAAAAGAGCCAACACTGTTTGAGACCATTGTGTGATCAGCCTTGTAGCTTTGACACCAAGGACGCTCTCTGGTATCATCCTTCGAAGGTTGATTTAACACATGCGATCGTGCAGGAAGACGTATCGACCATATATCCACCCTCCGACAGAGTATGGGATAGTGACTACCTAAAGCCGCCCTTGACTTTGCAGATCGTCAGGCCTGAAGTGATGGTACCCCCTATAAATTCTTTGACCTCCTTAAAGCGCTATACAGCTTTAAATGATGTAGTGTACGAGCGACTTTCTCAGTGCCACACGGCTTTTTTTCGAGGATGCCACACAATCTGGCACAAACTTCAAGACAGCAGGAAAGTGTAGAAAGTAGAACCGTCAGAAAGGCCACTGGAGTATGGGTCTATCTCATCTGCTCACTTCGTCAAATCGCGCGTTCGATTTCCTTTCTCTATCCCCTTTATATGTACGACCCGTGGGGCAGGAGGGTCTCGTGGTTGCCTGTGACCGTCTCAGGATAGAGTTAGATTCGCGAGAACCAAGCTGTTTCGCCCTTGTCCAGGTTTCAAAGATCATATCTTCGCTTTGCAGCAAGTTCTGGAGCTACACATCTCCTTCCGACGACCAATAGTGGTAATTTTTCTTGATGTAAATACTTGTCGACTTCACTGGTCGTCAGAAGCATTGCCAATGTCTGGTGTTGAAGAGTGACCCTTCTCAATTTTTATCATATGTCGTCAGTTTATATTTGCGTGTCTACAGCGAACGCTTTCCTGGGTTCATATCCAAGTTTCATGCAAGGGTTCCTTTTGTCGCCATTCTTCAGCGTCCTAATCGATGTACTGCTTGTGTCTTTATCTGACCATAACACCTCGAGGTACCCCCTGGGAGATGCCTCACAGGCATTTAGTACGCTAACGATATCGGTCCGGGGAGCAAACCCTTTGAAAATGAAAGCTGTTTTACATAACCCAAGTAATTCTACTGCACGGTTCGGAATGCGACTCAGGCCTACAAGATCTAAAATAGTTCTGCAAGACCGGGTGGGATGGAACCCTAACTTCATGCTCTCGGATGATGGATGTGGTAGACAAGTTCGTTCATCGGGTGGCTGCATAAACGTTATCACGTTTAGACTGTGCCCTATTGCGTTTGTCTGTCATAGTTTATGGGTCGCGTATGGCCGTCTCGTCAGAATTTCGGTGACCCTCAGTGTTCGATCGTCGTTTCTCCGGAGGACCAGGAGTAGGGGAACATCAGATCTATAACCCTCAGTGTTCGATCGTCGTTTCTCCGGAGGACCAGGAGTAGGGGAACATCAGATCTATAATGCTAAGGTGCGGCAAATGTTTTTTTTTCACAGGACAGCGCTTCCTTAATAGGTCAGCTGATTCCACTCCATAAACTATGCTGGTTGAGCCTTGTACTTTTTATGCCACAGGACGGTTCGCCTAACATAGTCCTCTTTGACCAGTCATATGTCGGATGGAGATAACCCATGGGCGGTCAGCAGTGATTTGGTAACGAAGCACGATAGCCCTTAACAGTCAGCTCAGTCATGTGGGTGACTGCCGTCCCCTTGGATGTGGATCCTGGGATGATGCAAGTGAATAGTTAGTGACTCTGGCAGATATGGCTGTCATGCAGCCAATGGCAGTCCCACATCATTACGTAGCTCCGGACAAGTAGAAGAATTCAATGTCGTTGGATTGATTTGACCATAGCATCCAGCGCGTGGTTGACACTTCCATATTCTCCTTACCATCAGCCAACGGAACCGTAGTAGCTGAAACCGCTGTACTTTGATAAACGTCTCATAGTTGAAAAACTGGACTTGGCCATGCTCAGATAGAACCGGTAAACATAGTATCTCTGTTATGCTTCTATCACACGTTTTGTTTCAGATAATTTCTGGCAAATGAAGGCCCTAATTTTGGTGGGTGGCTATGGAACACGGCTTAGACCTCTCACGCTGACGCACCCAAAACCAATCGTAGAATTTTGTAACAAGCCTATGTTGCTTCATCAGATAGAAGCTCTGATTGAGGTATGTGATTACATCTCTAATTCCGTTCCACTTCATTTCGATTTACATTTGTGATTAGTGTTCTCTGAATACCATAGGTATTGACACGTAAGGTTTGATTTTCCAATCTGAATCAAAACCGGTATGGAATACTGTCCTTAACCACTGAGCTCAATGTATATATATATATATATATATATATATATATATATACCACCATATGTGGGCGATATTTCGTAAGCATCCGTAGTCAAAAAACAGTCAGCTTGTCATATTCTGTTCTGCTTCTCGACTTCTCTTGTCTAGGTTTGGGCAACCTGGCAGTGTCCCATCCCTCGTGCTTCCTTTGGGTGGCATGGAGCTAGGCACCGAAAGGATGTTACAGCTGAATGAATAATATAATAATGTATTCTGTTTGATAAACCCACTTTTCTCATCCCGAAAGAAGCACAGTGTGTGCCATAGCTCTGTACTCTTCATTTCAACAACCGACTGCTTTCTCGCTAGTTGCACGGCTGGTCGAACTTTACAAACACCTCTGGGACTTTGGCAGTACGTTTGGTTGCTTAATATTTGGTGGTCCTAAAGCAGTTCCTTAGGCGTATATATTTCTCAACCACGCTTTCGAGATCTCTCAGTGGTTGAGGTGTGAACATACTCGCCTGAAGGTCTGTGGTTTGAACCTTACCCCAGCATCTCGACTCCTATTATCTTCTGGGTGTGGGCAATTTGGCAATATTTTAGCTCTCCGGCTTTCTTCGAGTGGAATGGTAGCTGGACACCGAAAGGGCCTTACGGTTGAACGAATTTTCCAACAAAATTGATCATTCTTCTATCAATAGAGTGAGCGAATGAACATGCTTTATGTGTCCTGTCTGCACTAGAGGAAGCCTCAGTCCAAAACTACATGTGGAAGTTGCAATCTTGTCATCCGTGTTTTGCCCCCTTACTCAATCATTAATTATTTCTATACCGTATGCATATCCTAGTTCTCGAAATCATCCTCCTGTTAGTAGCTCACTACACTTATATGTTTTGTAGGGAATGTTGCTGGAGATCTCGTCAGATGTCATCACCTCGGATGGGGGACCGGCGGTTTGTTGTCGGAGTGGAGGGTTTTGAAGGTTGTCTCATCTGAAAGACGAGCTAGTGGTATTGAAAGACTGGATTTAAAAAACGTTCACGGCCCACTGTATTGTTACTACCTATGACTTTGGCTCTTAATGAATGATCGACAGTTGTCCTTTCATGACTGTGTATGCGTTGATTGTTCACCCGTTCGTCCACCTTGTTTGGTGACCAATTAAAAGTGATCAGCGATCATAAATGACTTGATTAGTGAATCTCATTGACATGTTTCGATCTACCCATTATTTGAATTTATCAATGCCTTTTCCTTATGTGCGTATCAGGTAGGTGTAAATGAAGTTATCCTCGCCGTGAGCAAGTGCGCTGACCGAAGTGATTCTCTCGAGAGTGAGCTTTTGAGGCACCAAAAACGTGTAAGTATTTTTGCTGAACTCATAAATCACATCTACTCTGGGTTTTCCACTTGCTGGCCACCGCCTTTTGCCAATCTTTTTACACGTCTTCTCATACCGTTGTTGTTGGTTAATTTTGATATTTCCATTCTGCCGAGATGTCCGCATGAGCGGTGGTATCCCGCGTGTTTTCAACGCTTTCTTTCCATATCCTGTCCAAATCTCTGAAACCGAACCGCTAAAGTGGCTCTAAGTTTCTCTGTACTGTTCAATACTGTTCAATAGTATGGTGATTCCTATCGCCTCTTTGATTCTTAGGGAATAAGAAAGAGTATACTCCTTGACGTACCTTGTGTTCGAAAGAAAGATGTCTATTGGGAAATATAGCGTGGACACTTTGGCAAGCCTGTTGAAATGTACACATTGTACTTTTGCTAGTTGCTAGTTGGTTCGAACCCAACCGCCGCATCTCGACTGCTTTTGTCTAGGCTTGGGCAACCTGACAGTACCTCAGCCCTCATGCTTTCTTCGGGTGGAATGGCAACTAGATACTGAAATGGTATCATAGCTAAACGAGTATTTACGATTATTTGTATTGGTTATAGGGTTACTCGATGGCTATTTAAGTCAGTGCAAATATCTAATAGGACCCTAAGCCCACCTAACTTTCTGGACACCTGGTGTTCATTGGTGTTTGTGTTGTTTTGCATTGAAGTAACCTTGCTTCTTTTTTCAGTTAGGCACTCGTATCACATTCTCCTATGAAACAGAAGCAATGGGAACAGGTGAGCATCACAACTGTCCACCCTTCTTATGAACACTGTCAACGTTTAGTCGTTGTGCATGTTGCAACCATTTGAAATCCATCATGACTATCCTGCTAAAGGCCTGCAAGCTTTGATTTTTAATAACACGCTTTTGATTACCTGTCGCCGAAGGTCTCGCTCTGATCAGTGTTTGTGTGTCACATTGGCTATCATGCCATATCATCTAGTGATGTAGTGTTTCCGTTCGATTTGCTTTTATTTGAACGGGTTGTTCTTCAACACCAAGCTGTTAGTCATACCGAAAGCCCAATGAATAGATAGAATTTTAGTATCACCTAATCCTCGTCTCAATTTGAGCTTCTTTGTTCATCTCTGCTATGTGGTATCGTCTCACACTGTTCCATTTTGTGCTTTCGTTTGGACACTTTGTTTATGTACTCTCGTTTCGGTTTGCTTCTAGCTGGCCCCATAGCGCTAGCCAAACAATGGCTGATTGAGGGTGATTCCCCGTTTTTCGTGCTCAACAGCGATGTCGTGTGCGAATTCCCTTTTGAGACTCTAATCAAGTTCCATCAGTCGCATGGCAAAGAAGGCTCGATCATGGTGAGCACCTTATTCACAACTTTCCTGTGTTGTGCGTTTCCAGAGTTCAGCTAGGTACATCATTTCATAGATGAATGCAATAGAAAGTCCTCATAACCTGTCCTGTTGTCACTACCATCAAGGGAAGTGAATTTACTACAGTCGAAGCTTTCTAGGCATTTATTTTGATATATTGTACTTCAGTCTCTGTCTACCAGGGATTTCGTGCAGGTCCCGGTTATGTACCACACGAAGAAGTACTGTAAATCGTGCACATCAAATCAGTGTATATGTATCCTTGAATGGATACCACTAATATGACTGGCTCTAAGCCTTTCGTTGAAACCTGGTTTTCCCTTCACTTCGTTTTGACCGTGCGTAGGACTTGGGTTGTTTCCTCTGTCCGCTGGTAGGTTGTGCACAACTCCCTTTGGGACTCTTCCGAAAAAGTCATCCACTTTTGTAGAGCAACTTACTGTCATGTATTTTCGAATCGCTCCACTGTCTTTATCCCTAAGAGGGGATTGGGTCCAGGGTTGAGGTATCTTGACTCCTCACCCTTCGAAAATATGTTGTTGGTTTTTCAAGTTCTGTAGTTTCTTTGCTTTAGTCCTCTCATGACGTTTGTTCAGTGCAGTGACAGTCGTGCTCATCTCTGGATAACTGATAAGTAAGCTACATATTATCGGCGAGTCGCTGTCACCTGTAATTCTATGCGGTTACAATCATACATTTTGTTCCCTTGGGTTCACAGATCCATGAAATAAGGTGAATTTTTGTTGTGCGAGGTGCCGTTGTAGTGAACAGTTGAAAACCAATAAATCTGAACAAAACGATGACAGCCCTCACAAATTCTGTAACTGTTTGTTGTGGTTACCGTGCTTTCCTTCTCCTTCCAATCAGGTCACACAAGTTGAGGAGCCATCTAAGTATGGCGTTGTCGTGTACGATCAGTTCACTGGACGTGTAGATAGGTTTGTTGAAAAACCAATAGACTATGTGGGGAACAAAATCAATGCCGGAATCTACTTGCTGAACACCAGTGTGATCGATAAAATCCCCGTAAGTGACAAGAAAATCTCTTTCCAGTCCTTTACCATGCGTGTTCTCCTCTAGAACTTGTTGTGTAACCCTTAATTTCAACCACCCTAACCGTCGCACCTACACTTTTCAATCGTCATTCCGTTTCTAATCGCCACCTCATCGGTAGACGAAACTCTGACAGCTAGAACCGCTGGGTGGCCGGGACATGGTTCTTTAACCTAAATATGACGGTCGCCTGTATGAATCGTTACTGTATCACCAGTTTATTCATTCTAATACCAGTTCGTTCATTTCAGCTTCGACCCACGTCTCTTGAGAAAGAGATCTTTCCGAAAATGGCCAAGGCTCAACAGCTGTATTGTCTGACTTTGTCTGGTAAGTTTTCTCGGTCTGGAACAAACTTCTGTACTGGTGGAGTATGTGACGAAATGTGAATCTCCTTTTTATGACACTGAAAGGTTGCGTCATTAGCACTGAGTTAAGCCAGATGATTTGTCTGCTCGTCACACTCCACAGTTTACGTTGGATAACCCATGTACCTCGTACGCCTCGTAAAGTCTTCTTTGGCCAACCATGTATCTGATGCAGACAACCCAGGAGCGGTCAGTCCTTGATTCGGTTACGAAGCATGAACGCCGTTACAAGTCAACTGGGTTGCCTTGATAACTGCTGTCTCCTCGGGTGGGGTCCACGGGGCGACACAAATCAATGATTAGTGACCTTGACACAGCCAATGGCACTCTTGAATGAAAGCTATGGTCCTCACTGGACATTTGACGTCAGTGAACCGATTGAGCCATCGCCCTCCAAGCGTCGCTTTCATCCGCTTATTCTTGTCCTCCATGGACGAAGCCGTAGTGCCCCGAACCACTCACTTCAGCTGTCGTTTTTTGACCTTTAAAACTCATCTGAACCATTATAGTGCTCGGGTTAAATGCTCCGAGCCTCTCATTTTGCGATCTTCTCAGGGTTAGTTGTTTAAAAATTCTGAACCTTTCGTCGGTGTCGAACTACTTGCGCTTGAAGTTCGCTCCGTTCCGTTGCTATCTCTCCAAAGCTAATGGACATGATATAGTTCTTCCTGTACTTCGAGCTTGCGACCCCTCGCAAGTAACGTGTGATAGTTCAAACAAGCGCTGAAGTTCGGGTTAACTCTTGTTTTACCAGTTTGAAGACAATCGTCCCTTAATGCCTTCTTAGTACCGTGAACGGCGGTCTGGATAGCCGCTTGATCGTCTGGTGAGCTTGGCTAAACCAGAAAAGTCAATGAACCTGATCTGTGGACCACTGTCGGGTACAAGCGGCCAAAAAAGTGATCAATGGCGAGTGAGGAACAACCAATGAAATCTATCTCTCTGAACGAAACCCGCTATTCCATTGACTGTTATGCAGTCCCGTTACGTTCGGAGCTGGTTCTCCTAATATGTCCCCTTTGAAGTTGAGTAGTATAAGTCCTCTGACTAGGATTAACTTGAGTCTTTGTCACTTGGATTCTTTTGCGTGTCGTCACTCGTGATTTTTGATACACAGGCGCTTCTGGTAGTTGCTCCGCAACCTGCTTGTCGGTTGTCCTTCCTTCGTTCATGTCCAGGTGCTCTATCAATGCATTCAATCTCTGGGTCATCATCATCATTATCATTGTCAGCTGTAATAACCGCGTACTCGTCGTACAGTGGTTGCAGCTGCCGCAGTTTCGTTCACCGATGATTTGGGGGAGGGGGTAGGTAGCTGCGCATTGCAGGCGCGAGCTGGTAAGTTGGTGCATAA